AGTCTCTAATCAAAGTTTGCACGATATTATGGTTGCATTAGCCAAACCAAATCGTGGGTGACACACCAGATCTCACCCGACGGCCACAACTCCGAAACGCGCAATCGGCCACCAAATCAACCGCCACTTACGTGGAACATAAACAAAACACGGAATATTCACCGCAGTGATCTTACTTTCACTTCGCCCCCTTCCGACCTCCTTCCGAGAAAGTATCCTCGAAATCCAGGCGATCTCAGCGCTTCGGCCCAATGTCGGCGTCCTCTCCGAACTGTCTCAGTTTTGTAGCTTCAGAAACTCTCGAGCACCCACCTGGACAGTGCCTGCTTCTGATGCTGGATCGCACTCGCGTTCGTTTCGCGCGGTTCTGAGTATATCTCGCGCATTAGACTGGAAAAAAAGTCAGAATGATGGTCGGCCGAATGTCCCCTTTTGGTTTCTTATTTCGTGCCGTAGCACCAAGTCGCTCTATGGAGCTACGACAAACTTATGCAGGTTACTACATTGGTCTGGCTTACCGGGTCCCTGGAACGCAATAAGACGACTGGTAAAACCATAGGAACCCTCTGTTAATTATGCAGTCTAGCCAATCACGAGTTTCAGTTCGCCGAAGGCACGACCAGGCTGAATACACGCGACCGTATCGTACGAGCTGACTTGGTATATGGTTCGCATGCTACATTGCATGGTAACGCAAACTGTACGAGTCACTACGCCTATGTATAGTTCAAAGGATGTCGCTATCGCTACTGGCGACCAGAGTCGCGATCCTCCTTACTAGGCCCCAAGGTTTCGTTGATGTCAAGAGTCAGCAACGTCCACTAATGATTTGTTATCACTAGAAGATTGAGTCGTTCGTCATCACATTAATCGGAGTCTTCGAGAGGGATAACGCGAACCAAGCCGGCCACATCGACATCCTGTTGCATCAACAAATTCCCCAGGAGGAAGTTGGAGCGTCAATATCACTGGACGCATAACGCTGACGATACATGCTTCGCGTGTGTGGGGAGGTTATGTGAATGACGCCACATCAGTTTCATCGACACAGAAGATGTGGCTCTCCACCTCCACGTGGTACGCGAAATTCGACTCGACGGTGGGGCCTTTGATGCCTCTGCAAGACGCAGAGGACGATGCTTACCACCTTTTCCAGAATCGGGTACAGTGAGTCAGGAGATAGTCGCCTACGGTCCACTCTGGTAATCTTCTAGAAGCGAATCATAATTGTGGTCGAGGCTGCACGCGAGGATGAGGATCTACGCTACTGACTCACAGTCCAACCGCATGATGAGGCAGGAGCAGGGAATAATACGGCGTAACATGTTGCTGTTGCCCTGGAATAATTTGTGAGGCTACGACGTGCAACGAAAATAAGATCATGGAGTACCAAGTACCTAGCTGTACCAGTATACCTGCCTCGGCTTACCGAAGGACTGCACCCTGAGCCGTGTGAAGTTACAGTGTAAGCCGTTGATATGCAGCGGCACGACTCGTACCCAAAGCCGACGTTTCCCCACTATCCCGCCCGCCATAAACGTCCTCAAATACTCGTAACCTGGTAAAAGTGTCACATTAGCGGCCGCGAAGCAAATGAGGCACAGCAGAAAGTCAATCCCCCATCACTCCACTACGATCCTACTGCCAGTTTGACATCCAGCGGTTACGGTTTTTAATCCCGCCCCAATGACCCCAACCCAACCCAACTTGAAACTAACATAGCAATGACAGGACCACACCTCGTCACGAGGCAGCTTGCTGAGCAACCACAACTGTGGTTGTATCGCCACCCATGAAATCCAATTATGTAGCTTCATCCAAGAAATCTCATAGTTTCCCTTCACTCCAAACGGCACGCGCGATTCCGGCCTTGTAAGCCTACCTCCCGCCGCCCCGCGTTCAGTAGAAACCTAATTCTGAGTTGGCATGGGGCCAGGGCCAGTAAGCCTAGGTTGGGCTCCGTTACAATCTTGGGATAATGGCTGTTGGCGGACAGTTACGCACCCGGTCGTGATGCAATGACGCCAGGTGGGTCTACCAGGACACGGTATGTGACTCGTGGCGATTCGCGTGGATAAACTTCCGGCATCCAGATGTCGTGAGTTGGCGCAGAAATGTGCCCGAGTGGATATAACGGTCTGTACTAACATTAATGTTTGTGCCACAAAGCTTGGAATGGTACGAGTTCCGCATGCATGCGCGGTCATGTTATCTGCTGCCGTCTCACCCCAGTCAAAAGTGATGCGCGCTTCAAAAAGGGCGCAGCAGTCAGTGGCCCAGAATCCCATCTCCACGAACACACTAAGTGTGTCGTCAACCTACGGCAACGTCCTTGCAAGCCACTTCCTGGCGCTTACGATGCATGGGCTAATCATAATAAGATCAGCACATTATACGGAACGAATGAGATATTTAATTAGGTTTGCCGATCGCACCATACCATAACCCTCTGATTACAACACCATCGTATTTTGGTCTCTGATATCTGCATCACGGCCTTTTTCCCCTTCGCCCACTATTGGAAGCGCCGGAGCGAACCTCCTAGCCAAACGGCGAATCGGACAGACTCTATTTACCGTATGCCGGCACTTGCAACTTGCGCCGGCACTTCCGCGACCCCTACCTCGTATTGCGCTTCTGTCTGTAACGCGGAATGCGAAGTGAGGCTTGCGACTGTCACATCGAGCCTGACAGGTGACACGCAGTCGAGGAGGATCATGTTTCATGCCTGGTGCCTGAGCCCTGAGGATCCGCAATTGGTTGCCTGTCCGGCACGGCCCGGGCTGTCACCAGCAATGATAAACAGCGCAAGGTCAGCTGCTTTGCCTTTTTGCATGCTGCGAGTCCCAGGTTCAACGGCCCGACTGTGTCTTATGTAAACGTCCACCACACTTGGCCCGATGTTTGACGAGCCCGCTGCTGCATATCTCCCAAGAGCTGGGTCACAACCTCAACCTCACGAGCCCGGTCAGGATCCCATGTGTGGGTATTGGGGTACACGGAGGGGCTTGGAACGGCGGGAAAACCAGCAGCTGACTGACATACCGCCTTGACAAACTTTCTTCACCCAAGAGAACTCCTCAAACGGGACATTCCGCAAACGTCTAGGTGTGAATGAACACACGTCCTGCTCAGCCTCGGCCGGTTCGGAGTCTTTACACCGACATGTAGTGCGGCCGCAAAGGCGTTGAGCGATTGTCCGCTATGGAAACAGCGGAGCCTTCTCCGCCCCACTACGGACACGGTACGGCACAAAGTCTGGCCTTTTCCTAGTACGATCTGAGACGCAGGCAAAGGCTACAGGTATGACGTGCATAACGACGCAGAGCTAGTCGTGGATCGCTTCGGAGCTTTAGCATCGGTTACCATGTCCATGGCGTGGAGATAGCTCGCTATGCAGCAAACAAACGCAAAGTATATTGGGTCTAGATTGCAAGTTTGGCTTCTGTTCACAACCCCCCTTTTTGCTAATCTGAATCATCGCTTTTGCTACTACAATCTGGAATCCGACGCAAGCCGTGTCCGAAAACATGCTCGGTGACGTACTGTGACTGCGGGCCGTCTTCGGTGACATGCTTTGACCTCCGCTTCCCCATACTACTGGTATCGTATGAGGTTGATCGTATACTGTATAACCTCACAACCACTAAATCCAATAGCTCGAAGACTGGTCAGCATGGCACGATTTGTCAGTTCACCACGGCATGAGTTTGCTAGGAGGGATTATGGAACACTGTAAGCCTCACCACATTGGGCTGCCATGAGGCTCAGGACTCTATCAGATGTGAAGATATACCTGCCGATGTCAATCGCCTGGTCTTACCGCAAACATACCCCACGACCCCATCCCTGCGCCAGGGAGGGCCTGGTCACGGACGACTCGTAAGTTTGGCCGGAGGCGCATGTAAGAAAGACTGTCGTGCTGTGAGGCGGTGATCACGTCTCCGCCATGTCTCGGCATATTCACCGATGGCGACAGTAGTCAAGAACGGCGAAGCTTGCGGTAGGGCTGACGCAAGCTTGGTGTGCATGAGGAGAAGCCTCTACAATGCCCTATCCCATATCCGCGACATTCCGACAGAATTCGCCGGCTGGTGTCTGGGTTCTCAGTCACATTAGCACATCCTTGCGGATATGTTGATCTGGAGCTTGATAGGTCTCCAGCTGACGACACCAGAAGTCCACGTACGCGGTGACATACGACGCGTCTTGGCCGGGTCCGTGGACACCTGATCTGCGGAGCTTTCTAAGCATTGAGTAGGCGAATCACAAACCAAGAGTCTTAGCACTCTTTGTACATACTCGCAGGTCCATGCTGTGGATCTCTTGGTGGTTGTTACACGGTCAACCCTGGAACACTTGCACATCGATCGCAAGAGGGCAACAAGGTAGATGTCGAGATCGTGGTCCGGGAAGGCAGATCATGCACCAACGACTTACCCCCACCACAAAGTTTGAATTCTCAAGACGTAACCCTCTTGAGTTAATACTACCTGTGTATCGTGATCACCGTGGTTCGCAACGAGGTCCTTGGTTTGGCGCGTTCGCACGGTGTAAACCTTGTTCGCCGAACTTCCAAAAGAGACGTCGAGTCGACATTAACCGGTAAATTATTGGAACTACTGGAACTACTGTTGATCAGTTGCGTTTTGTTTCTCGAGAGGGTAGAGTGAGTTCGGAACGTCAAGTCCGTTTAGGCGGTCTTCAGACCGACTTAGTCGCATATTGGGTTTCAATGGTGCGGTGTGGTAGGTAGTCTCGTGACGAAGCGCCAGAAGGAGAAACAAACATGCCCTCAGACATTATGCTTCTGGGTCTGTAGTTGACGATGATGGAAGAGCGTGTTCAGACGACAGAAACAGATATGCATAAGTTGTCCAACCAGGAATCGTGCTAGAAAGTCGTGTATGCCGTGATTGGTCAATGCGCGCTCCTTTCCGAAATGGAGTCAGGAACCAGGAACGCTGTGCATAGGCGAATCATCCCTCACATCAGCGACGATGCCTCACGGTGAAGACACGCCCACACCCGACAATGGCTTCTATGTCGTGGTCACTGGAGCCAACAGGTTCGTGTATCCCATTGTCCGCCTGCGTGACGCTCAACTGACCCGCCTATAGTGGCCTGGGACTCGGTATCGGAACCCGCCTGATTGACGAATTCCTGCAAACTCGCCCCCAGAACGAGTCCCTTGTCCTCATCATCACCACACGCGACCAACGCAAAGGCGATGCGACAATCGAGAAGCTAGAACAGCACCTTCGGAAAGTCATCCGCAGCCATGAACAAAAACTACCGGGCATCGCACAGGTGCTGCAGAATCGCGTGTCTTTCCGCCAGGAGAGACTAGATCTTCTCAGTCTGGTCTCAGTACAGAAGCTGAGCAGGAAGCTCCGGGAAACAACACCGAAGCTCGATGCAGTCATCTGTAATGCTGGCATTGGTGGATGGACTGGCATCAATTGGCCCAGTGCCATATGGGCAATACTCACCAAGTGGAGGACGGCCATCACTTGGCCTACGTACAAGATATCTGGCGTTGGATGGACTGTAAAAAACCCGCAAATACCTGCGGACAAGAAGACGCAGGAAGAGCCTCCATTAGGCGAGGTCTTCTGTGCTAATGTCTTTGGGCATTACCTCCTTGGTCACTACCTCGCACCCTTGTTGGCGAGACACCCCATGAGCGAGAAGACAAGAGGGAGGATGATCTGGGTCAGCAGCGTGGAGGCATACGACCATATATTCGATCTGCAGGACATACAAGGCATCCTGTCAGACATGCCGTACGAGGGCACCAAGAGGCTCACCGATATCCTGGCCATTACTTCTACGCTGCCCTCAACGACAAAACCTGTTGACGAATATCTCCATCACGCCCAAGATTCGGAAAAGACTACGAAGCCGCGACTTTACGTTTCTCACCCTGGCATCTGCGCTACTTCGATCGTACCTCTCCCCCTCATCCTTCAATGGTGCATGGTCATCTCCTTCTACATTGGGCGATTGCTTGGCAGCGACTGGCATACCATTGACGTCGAGAAGGGCGCAACGGCAATGGTCTGGTTGGCACTTGCTAGTCAGAGCACGCTGGACAACATGGAGGCAAAGGAAGGCGTGGGCAAGTGGGGAAGCGCGACCGATGCTTGGGGCCGAGAACGTGTGGACCGCACAGAGGTGACGGGATGGGGCTGGGGAGGCAAGATGGGCGAATACAAGAGAAAGGGAAGAGATCCGTATGCGACAGACCTGACCGAGGAGAGCCGAGAGCGCTTCACGGAGAAGGGGAGGAGGTGCTGGGAGGAGATGGAGAAACTGCGCATCGAGTGGGAAGATCGGCTGCGACAGGCTGGAGTCGCTGTTGACATGGAGTGAGTTCCAACACGCAGAGGCTTTTACGGCACCCCACACAAAGGCGCCGGCATCATTGTACACTTTTAATATCTGACGATACAACACACAATAATTCTTTCTTGGGCCCCACACATGCACAGCAGACAGACGTGGTTCCATGGAGCGACCAAAACACCCCCTCTTCTACTTGCCACATTGCGAAACTTCAGACTTTGGACTAAACACAAAATAAAAACAGCCGAACTGACAGCACTAGTACCGACATTATGCCGGGCGATCTCTTGTCAGAGAGGAGCCCGAATGCTTGGGCATAGCGAAGGTTGAGGCCTGAGCTTGACAGCTGAAGTATGCACACGGCAACAAGGACAAGGCCGAGTTGCAGGACCAGTTCTGTGCAAGACTCGTTATCGCGAGAAACACGTCGACTAAGTTGAACGACTTGCAGAAATTAAGAAACATGACGGGTACTAGGAGGCCTGGACACAGTCGCGTGCCACATCACAAATCACCTCGGCGACAAGTGACGAGCGACAGGACTGTCCTGCGGCGAAGGCAGCGCTACTGAGCATAGTCGAAATAGGCTGGGAACGCGCCACATGGCGTTGCGTTGGGGTTCGTAGGCGCGTTCGCACTATGTGATGTGGTTCCTGTTGGAGGCGAAGGACAGACAAAGGGCGCCCAAAGGCAATGGTGAGCCTGTCCCCCGCATTTCCGATTGTCTCGTTCGTGATGTTTCTTGTGACGACATGAGGGCTCATGCAGCAATCCCGGGAACCGCACTCTTCGACGCCAGGGGCTTCCTAGGGCGCCCCCACCCACGCATCGAAAACAGCAAATAGGAAGCCTTGACGGCACCTGCAGACCGCTGTGCTGGGTCGCGCCGGCCAGGGCTCCCGCTGTGCCCATTCTCGCTTGTCCTCTTCGAGTCAAGTCTTCCCTTCTGGCCCTCCCTCAACCGTCCATCTCTAATTGCTGCCCGACGCGACTGTTCGTCGCCATCCCCTAGACATCTGGCATTTTCGACTCTGCTCCGCGTCGCCAGCGTTGCTCTTCATACCACCACTTTCTCGAGATTCGCTGCCCGCATCGCCTGCCTGCTGTCAAGCCAGGATTGACGCGATTCACCGCTACCTGCAACGCCAAATTTACTACTTTCACCGCTCATCTCCCTTTGACCGCGACAACCCAGGACGCGACAGATCACGCAGCGATTCTGATGGTAGCATTTTCCCTGCTATAGCGCGAATGGACCCCAAGAACGACCCGCTCTCGAGCGACTATCCACCCATCTTCGCACGCGACGTCACCCAAGTCTCTTTCCCGTCAACAACTCTCACATACGCCATATAATACCCCGCCGCCGCCGCCGCCCTAAACCTTCTCGACCAACTACACAACGGCGCCTGTCTTACTCCCGGCCCAACGGTCAAACTAGGGGGGATCATTGTTCGTGCACAAGAGTCGCGGTACACAACGTATTGCCACCGACTGCTTCTCTTAAAGCAACAAGGCATACGCGCAATTCTACCGGGCCTAATTCTTGTCCGGAACCTTACATCAATATGTCGAGCATTTCGTCACCACACACTTCTGCGCGGGGAACTGCCTATAGGCCGTCGACGCCAGACCAGATGAGACCTGCGCTTTCGCGATCGAGCACTTATTCTGTTGCGCCAAAATCAGAATTCCTACGACATGCGCTGGAAGCACGGAGGGCACAGAACACACCAACTCCTTCGCCCCAGGAAGCCAAGGCGCCATCGCCACCAACGTCGATGCCCTTGGATATACATACACCCAAAACCTCACCCGATGTCTTTGACGAGTTTGCCCTCACCGAGGAGCAAACAACACCCGTTTCGCCCATCCGGCGACGAAGACCTAGCGATGTTGGCACGCCGCGCTCCAAGACGAATCGAGACCTCACCAATGATATCCAAAAGCTAAAGGAGTCGTTAATGACTTCCAACATGCGGGTGGAGCTGCTGAAGAAAGACAATAAAGAGCTACAACATCAACTGACGACTGCAAAGGAGCAAGTTGAGCGACTTGAGCCACTGGAGGATGAAAACTACGAGCTGCGTGCGGAGAACAAACAACTGAAACTCAAACTGGATAAGATGAGTGAGGAAATCTCCAGCTTACGAGAAGACAACGAAGAACAGCGGATGAACAACGTGGAGCTCACCGCTATAGCGAGCGAGACTGCCGCGCATTTCACAGAACACGAAACTGCTCTCGCAGAAGCTGCCGAATGCATCATCAAGATGGAGGAGGAGAAGGCCTTACTCGACAAGGAACTCAAGATGCTCAAAGAGCGCGTCATGGTGATAGAGAGCCATTCTCCCGCTAGCACACTCGTCAACACTCCAGGAAAGTACCCGCCTAGTGTCTACAGTGTGGACGAGGAACGCCCTACTACTTCTCATTTCGACTCGGATTACTACAGCCAGGTAGAGGACACGCCGTCAGTCAAGCCGAGCCACGAATCGATAAGGTCGTTTACGCCTTCAGAACGGTCAAAGAAATTTCTTGACTTGACCGAAGAGCGGCGGAAGTCTGCTCGAGACTTATCTGAGCGTATGTCTGCTGTCTCTCTGAAGGCATTACGCGAAGCGTCTCCCTCCCCACTTCCAGAGGTTCCTCAGGTTCCCACTACATACCAACAAGAGATTCCGACAATCGTCGCCGATGACAGGTCTGCCACCCCCTCTAGGACCCCCGTACCTCATCGCCAGGGTTACCAGCCGCCCTCAAGGCCTCTGATGGACGCAGCAGAGATCTCCCCAGCCCGGCCGCATACAGTTGCCCCGCAATCTCATGAACGCCAACCGGACGGTCTGCGAGGATTATATCGCCCCCGTAGAACTTTGTCGGGCAGGAAATCAAGTGATCGCCGCCCGTCATCAAGTTACGTCCCAAACACCACCAGCACTTCCGCCAGTTTTGCAGGTCGCCAACAGTCCAGGCAAGAGACTTCCCCTCAGGACTCTTCACGCAGCACCAGCAAGCGTGCGAGTACTACAAATTCAGATGAACATCTTCAACGCCGCATACCACACCGCCGAACAACGGATGCCGACAGACCATCCACCATGTATACACTCCCCAACGCGGACCTCATGTCGTCAGGGTGGGAAATGATATCCTCCGATTCCTCCCCTCCTCCCGTCTCCAATGCCTCCACAACCGATCTAACCTCGGTTGTAGATCCACGCGAAGACAGGGACGGATGGTGGCGTAGTTTAGATCGTCTGACTCTACCTCAAGCATTGGCTCAACAGCAGCAACAACGACAACAGCAACAACAAAAGGATCAACGGGATCAACGGGATCAACAGACACCGCGACCTCCTAAACCTCATTCTAGGTCGAGATCGGCTGCTCCCCTTCCGCCTCCTATTGACACTAGCAATACCGTCCGTACAACCAATGGTCTAAATGCCTATGTTGGTACGCTGAGGAGCAGCGGTTCCCGAAGGAAGCCAGGCGAGACTACGCCGCTGACAGCTTTGAATAGTCATCCTGTCGAAAAGGACTTTTTGTTCAATGTCAAAGAGAGCGAAGACGACTTTCTGCGAAAGACCAGGGGTAGTGTTGGACCTTCTTCACGGAGAAGTTAAGGTGCTTCCTGAGTAGTTGCCCCTTCTCCTGCTGTTTCTTTCTCCTATATCTTTCTCTGTTAATTCCTAATGATTGTACGACCTGATCCTTTCCTCCTACTTTTTTTTCCGGCGTTCGATCAGAGAGCGGAGGATTATACCCGACAAGGAGGTCATGACGGCTTGTCCGACTGTCTTTATCTATTAACAGCGTGGGCGGTTCATTTTGAGACTGCGACTTTTGTCGCATCAACATCCATCTGCCAGGGTGGCAGAAAACCTGTATCACTAGTCGAATACGTCGACATCACTTAATACCATCACATCTCCCTGAACTAAAAATCCCCACAATGACAAGTGAAGCCAACATGTATTCTAAGCTGTTAGTATACAAGACCTTTCATGTAAACCATACATCTTTGTGTGTCGCCCATCTACGCCCGTCTATCCCCTCTAAACTGCTCAGCAACCATATCTCCCAACGTCCTCCTCTGCCTCGCCTGCCCATCTTCCGCCAGAATCCCCGTCGCCAACCCCGCTCCACCACCTTCCCTCTCCCTCTCAGCATCTAGCCTCGCCCTTAGCCCCTCGAAACCCCCTTTCTTCTCCTCACCAACCATCCACCCCGGAACTCTCCAGCGGCTTGCTCCAGGCAGAACATCCCTCCGATACGCCGTACCCACGCCCCACCCCACAGCTGCCGCGACCAAGCTGCCCGGAAATTGGCTGAGCGCGAGTTGGAGGGGAGGGAGGTAGGATAGTGACTTCGATGTCAGCGTTAGACTGCGTGACCAGAGCGCTGAGAGGGACTGGGTATTCGACTGTGTCGATGATGATGATGACGATGGTGTAGGCGCAGACCACGGCGAGATCTTATACCGGTATGTATATGGAATCGCAGCATAGTAGTTTGCGAGGAGGGCGAAGAGGATGGGTGTAGGACCAGCGGGGAGATAGTTTATTGCGCCGAAAGTCAACGGGCGGAGGACGAAGGTTACAAGGAGAGGAGGAAGAAGGGTCGTGTAGGGGAGAGTGGAGAGGAGAAAGGACTGTGGAGATGTTAGTTGGACGTGGTAGAGAGGGAAGAAGAAGGTGGATGAGATAGCGTACAGCGAACTTTCTACTCCCCCATAATCTTTCCACGACACGCAGTTGGTAAAACGTTAATACTGCGAAGAGGACTTCAGTCGAATTCGTGAAGCTCAGCTATTGAACAACATGTCAGCGTCTGCCTTGTTCTTCTTCTTCTCATACACTTCTTCCACCTATCACATACCTGCCAAACCGCAAACCTCCAAAACTGCCCGTACTGCCAAATATGCGGCACGACTTGAATATGCAAATAATATCTCGAATCCGTAATCGTAGCCAGTAGCGCGCCAATGACGGTGCCGAAGACGAGGAATTGTGTCACGGGCGCGTTTGTGAAGCCCGAAGAGATCATCGCGTTGGAAAGAGAAGAAGAAGCAGAGTGAGAGAGTTGATGCGACTGGTAATGTTCACAGCATGGTAGGTAAAGTGGCTGAGGTGATGAGGTATTGGACTGGTGGGATGTGGCCAGCTTGTGAGCGATGACGATGGGAGCATGTGCGCAAAGTGCGGAGCCAAGGGCGGAGGTGCCACAGTTGCCATTGGGGCGCGCGAGTCGCGTCGGTGGTGGACCATTCTCACATGCGCAAGACTCGCATTATGATTAATAACACCAGCAGGCAAGACAAGCAATTGAGTAACTTTGTTTCGAGATATGACACGCCATAGCAGGGTACTCTGAATTATATACACGATGAAAACACAATCATGGCCTCCTCGCCAGCAACGCCTTTACAGACAAAAGAGATATTCATCGCCTCAGCCGAGCTCTTCTTCCTGCTTATTTCTCACCCCTGTCGTCGCTGCGTGCAGCGTGCTTCTTCTTCTCCGCAGCCGCCTCTTCGTGCTCAGCCAGCCTCTCCTCAGATGAGCCTTCCTCCTTGAAGACCTTGGCCCTATCAACAGATCCAGGAATGTGCTCGGGAAGCTCGCTGCGGCCGATAAGGGTAAGGACAATACTAGCACCGACGATCATGGTAAGGACAAAGCGGTACACGGCGTACCAGTTGGGTGTCCAGCCACGGTATGTTGCGCCTGTATTCGCTATCAGTACAGTTTCATGGATAAGAGAAAAAGATCCAGACTTACGAGTATCAACATAGTACAACGCAACGAAACCCAAGAATTGCGAAATCAGCGCGCCCTCAACCGGCATGAGCAATGTCGACCAAGCTACCATGGGTGCCACAACACCAATAGCATAACGCTTGTATCCCTGGTAGCCGCCGTAGCCAGCCCATTCAAGTCCCCAGTGAATGGCGCCGAGGAAACTCAGGATGGATGCTCCGTATCCGATTTGCAGGGGCTCAATGAGAGTGAGGAGATACGCGGCGTTCTTCTCAGAGAAAATCATGCCATAGCCAGCGACGCTGTGGTTGAGTTCCCAGGATAGGTAGACGGTGGAGATGGAGGTTGCAAGGTAGGGAAGTGTGCCGGCCAGGCCCATGTAGTATGCTTCTCTTGGGACACTAGCAAGGGAAAATGTGTCTTTGATGGTGTGCTGTTGTTTGTTAGCATGCCTGGTTTGGAAGGGCTATGGGGAGTATCGTGTGCATACCACATCGTGCTTCACGCCCGCCATCATGTCCACCTCATTTTGTGGTTGTTCTGCCCCAACTTCGGAGAACATGGGATGCGTGGAACTGGTGCTAGACACGGTCTCTGGGGTGGGTTTAATCTCCTCATGTGCATATCTGCTCTCCGCCTGCTTTTGCCCTTCCGTCAATGTCTTATCAGCAAGGCTTCGGCGCAAGATTGCAGAAGCCGGCTTCAGCTGTACTGCAGTCGCCTGCGCTAATTGTGGTCTCCTCGCAGCCAAGGAACCAAATTGTGTTGCCCATTGTAGTTGAGGTGTTGTGCGGGTGAAACTTGCAGCCGGTCGTGCCGACTTGGGCGCAGCCACCGATCTCAGCGCGAGGCGCGACGCACCGTTGCGAAGCATATTAGATTATCGAAGGGAGGCGATATGGGATATGAAAAGCAAAAGAGATGCAGAAGCAAAGTTGTAATGTACACAGGACAAGGAGCAGGGTATATGGAGGAGAAGTAACCAGGAAATGAGCAAGATAGCGCTCTGTCACTGCGATTACAGCTGCAAGCTTAAGCTTTCCCCCGCAAGTTGACGCGCGACGCCAGTCTGACGTCACGCTGTTTACATCATATCGCCGGCCATGCTTCGGCATCGCGGTCGCATGTGGATCTCAACGGTGCCGTGACCCGTAAATACTTGCGACGAGTCTGTCACAATGAGACCAAATGTGCCTTTGCGTGGTGGGTCTTTCCATGCGATCGCATCGACTCGAACATAGCTCGGCGCAGTCTCGCTCTAGCCCGGCGATAACGATAAGTCAACACCGTGGACACAGCACCAGATGACGCAAACCATCGTTGCATCTCGATAAAGCTGGGCGGCCTTGTAGTTGCATCGCAGGAAGGTTCATGAATCGATTCCGCACATGATGATGCTGCCATATGCTCAGAATGGCCATGTTGTAAGTTCTCAAAGCGGACCCGCAGCCATCACCATCAGGCGACATTATTGTAGAACAGAATATCTCATCCATCAAGCTCATCATAGAAAGAGTAAACATTATAGGTCGCCGAATCGAAACAGAAAGCTCATTCTGAACCCACGCTATGCCATGTACTCATAAACCTCATTGAAGGAACGCTTCTGATCCGCGTCTCTTTCTGTCAAACATCTTGGAAAACACCTCCACTCTCAACCTTTCACTCATCCCAATCAACCCTTCGCATTCCACCGATCATTATAAGCATTGACCCCTACAGCAACCTGTCGGTAAAACCAATTCCGACTTCCTTCATCACTCACAGGGATAAACGGTCCATTCGTCCCTCCCTTGAGCGTAATCCCCAACCCTGTCCTCTCTTTACTAATAGTCTGCACGTCTTTAAGTGGTACATCCCATTCTGTCTGCAGCTTCTTTGTCCGCACCATCATAAGGCCATTGTACGTGAGCATGACGAGCATCTCCTTGTTCTGCAGTTCAAGATGCGCAATGTAGTCCTCGTTGAAATACTTGCCGTTGTCGAGTGTCTTGAGCCAGAACTGACCAAGAGCTTCGCGTTGGGAGTAGGGCCGGACAATGCCGTCGGTGCCGATGAAGCGGGTGAGACGAACGCGATCGAGGCCTTCTTGGTCGAAGACGGTGGTTGTGTTGCGGACGCCTTCTGCCATGTTGGAAGCAAGGTCGAAGGCGCCAATGGCGGCCTTGGTTGGTACGCCCAGCAGTCCTTTGCCGACTCCTTTCACGAAACCGAGAGCACCTTCCTTCTCCGCTCCTTGAATAGGGTGGCGAGCAAGACCACCAAGACCGCTGGCAAGACTACTAGCAAAGGCATTTCCACCAGATGTTATGCCGTAGAGGGCATGCTTAGGCCTGTTACGAGATCGCGACATGCGACGCTGGTCTTGGAACTCCTTGTCCAGTGTTGCTGCAGAAAGTCCCTTTGACATGCTGCCAGTGAACTTGGCCATACTGTCCGAGAATCCGAAGACGGACTTCTTGACGAAGCTTGATGCACCCTTTGCGATACCGATACCGAGATCCTCCGGACGATCCGATTTGACAAGTCCTTGGTATGGCTCGTAGAAAATGTCAGCGACACCAGAGCTGATGTTGTTGAATAGGCCGACTGGATTGCCAAGGAAGTCAGCAGACCCGATGATGACGTGCACTTGTCGCAAAGATTCTTGAACGTAATGATTCTTGATGTTGTTGATCAATGCAGTGGTAGAGATGCGGGCATTCTCCAACATCAAGGAGTTGTATCGCACCGGCGCATCGTTGACATTGCCGATCGACATGGTGAGTACGTTGACAGCGAACATAAACGGGTTGGAAGTGCTCATGGTGTCCTCGGCGTTGATGCGTTCTGTTCGAACGAACGACAGATCAATCTGCATGGGC